TGCACTGCGCTCCCACCAACACACTCGCAGTCAGTTTGTACACACGTACACACACCCACACACGTACATCCTATTCTAACAGCTGCCAAGAGAACTACTTCTCTTTCTTCATCGGCCCAAAAATTAGCAGCTTATTTCTGCTGCATTTCGTATGGTGAGTGTAAAGGACCAGAAACCTTTTTAACTGATAAGGGCGCATTATATCTTAGTCAGTAGTAGTATGTCAGGGGTGACAGCATATCTACGTATCCTTAATCGAGAATAGATGTACATAATGTTATAGCATCCTAACCACTAACTATTGTGGAAATACATATTGCATTTATCATAGTTGCCACGATTGGCAAGCGGGTTGGCAACCGCAGTTTGTTATTTTTAGTCGTTATTAGAAATACGCTTTTATACGTGGTAGAGCCATGCTGCAGCTATATTTGGACGTGGTTATGCAAAAAGGATTCAACCCGAGTTTGTGTCAAAAATGTTGGCTTGAAAAATAATGTTTGTGGTCTATACTATTGTGATGTAACAATTTTAGCAAACGTAACACAAATAAGAAGAAAAATTACAAACAGACAGAAACCATAGCGATAATTTGAGTTTATGATATTTGTAGTATGGATACTTCAAATATCTGGATCCTTTTTGCATAAATACGTCCATCTGTAGTCTAGTTGTAGCACGAATGGGTCGCCTCGAACGGGGAAGGACAACGCTCTCACAGAATACCAACGTAAAATGGCATATTGACACTACTGTATTTCGTATGGTGAGTGTAGAGAACCGGAGGCCTATTTACTGGAAAAGAGGCATTCCACCTTAGTCCTCACGGGTGACAACGCATCTGCATTTTGATTCGCAAATGAGGATAGATGTAGATGTCTATGGGCCACAGCAACCACTTACCATCAGGTGGACTGTGTGCTCCTTTGTCATCCTATATTATAAAAAAAAAACGCTGCTGCCTATCTGATTTGTTTCCCTCCGCATCTCATACGCCACTCACGGGATGGATATTTTTACAGCGCCACTACACGGTGATTTTTTGATTTTCGTTTCGATACACATCGCTTAAAAGTAAATAATGAATTACTGATCACATTGTGACGCAATCGTTGTTATCGCATAAGCATTATGTTGGTAGGTTGTTTTTGCATTTTTATCGATACTAAAAAATTTACGTTCATCACGAAGCAAGTATTTTGTAGCTTTTATGTATTTCAGAGTACCCGTCGTAATAAACTGATGGAAAAAATTGGACATTTTAACAGACTTCAAATAATTTAAAATTAAAAATTTTGTACGTCCGACTTCAATATACTTTATTAAGAATAACTCAAAACCATCATCAGACCTTGATCAAATTTATATGGAACCACATGTGAAGCACCAGCTTTCAAATAAAAAAAAGAATCATCGAAATCGGTTCCCCAGTAAAAAGTTATGAGGAGGAGAAGGAGAACACACAAAAAAACATACAGTTGAATTGAGTACCGTCTCCTTTTTGAAGTCGGTAGAAAGAGGAGGCTATCAATATTATATGCTTCTTAAAGTATGTAAACGATATCCCCGAGAATAGATAACAACATTTAGCTAATTTTTATTTTTCAACGGTTTATTTGCCATTTTAGTGGTAGTAAAACACTCCATCACCATATTTCTCACCGCGGGGCGCCAACTATGGAAAATGCTAGAGATCTAATGGCATCCGACAGATGGCGGTGTTACCATCTTGTTTACGCCAGGCGTAACATACGACGGGTAACAACGTCTAAGTGGAAAGGTATCTGGTATGGAATACACTTTCATACTAATGCAATATAAATTTCCAACAGATCCCATGATAATGAACAAAAATAAGTTTCAAATAAAATAACTATTTAGAATACAGTTCCATAAAAACTATGAATTTAAATGGCTAATGTCTTAAAAAGATATAAATAATATACAGCTAAATACTATTTTTGTATATAACTAGCGATCCACCCCGGCTTCGCACGGGTGATTTCTAGATCTGGACTACCGGGTGCAATTGTGAATCTAAACCATTCTCGGATAAATAAAAATCTTAAACATTCTGTCTATTTAATAATGTATTATTTTAACTGATTTTACTGCGCACGCACACACGCGGTCGGTAGAAGCCTTATTTATTCGTATTTTCAAAAACTGCAATAACGAAATATCATTATTTTTATATTTGAACATAAGTTTAAAATTTGGATACTTTTTGAAAAATAACCCTATATATATATATAGTCTTGAATCCTTTACCCACGGTTCACCATGCTGCGTATGCAGGCTAAGCAGGCACTAGTAATGTTGCTCCTTATTACCAGTCTATAAAATTTGGATTCTGTCTTCTTAGGAATGAAGATCCGCGAATTCAATCGGTCGTCAGAAACTCATCATGCCTTCTAGTGGGGGGTCTAGAAACGTACACTCCGTTTACTGATACGATGGGTGTTTTGGCGGGAACTTGAACGGTGGACGATTGCTGCTCTTGTATTATTGTTTAAATAATGGTTTGAAGTGGATTTTGATATGTAAAAGTGATGTCATTTTGTGTATTAAGTGTCTGCGCATGTGAACTATTAGTGGAAATGGTGAAACAATTGGTGAAAAAAAAACAAAACAACCATCGCCAACTGTCAGCTGTCTATTGGCTCAAGTCGCCGTCAAAATCTCTAAAGGGCTGCACAATGTGACGCATCAACATATTGTGAAGCAGAGTGCTACGAAGGAAATTATACATTGTAACTTCAGGCTCAGAAGGGCTAGAACCCAGAGCCGTAAAGCCAGTTATAAAAAAAACCGACACGATGCTGTTACTCTAGAACCTTTCATTCTCATCGGTTGTCGGTTCGTCTTTTATAGTAGGGAATGCAATAAAGAATAAATTAATAAATGCAGTAAGGATATAAAATCGAAGTACCTAGTTTATTCGAAGGATGTACGCCAACGAACTCTATTAACTGACACGGACACCTAAATATCATAATAGAAGTACTCGTTCAATCTTAGGTCGATCTTAAACAATGCCACTGGAATTGGTGGGGTTAGTTTACGCAGATACATTATTTTATACCGACTTCAAAAAGGAGACGGTACTCAATTCGACTTACTTCATAACTTTTTTCTGGGTGAACCGATGTCGATGATTATTTTTTATTTGAAAGCTGGTGTTTCTCATGTGGTCCCATATAAATTGTATTAAGGTCTGACCAATAGTTTTTGAGTTATTCTTAATAATTTTTAGAAGTTAATTGTACAAAATTTTTAATTTTAAATTATAATCACTGTCTACAAAGTGAGCAACAAACTGGCACTTAGCTTCACCTTATACCACCAAAGTAAACCTAAAACACTCCTGCTCGTTTTAAAGTCAGCACTGATTAGCCGGAGGATAGTTGACAACTATGGTACATTATATAGAAATTATTGTATTATAATACCAGTTATTGACGTTTCATGCAGTCTAAAAAAATTTATTGACATAATTAAAAAAATATATAAAAAAGAAGTGTTAAGACAAAAGTTTTTGGTGTGATAAGTGTATAATTTATTTGTTTTGGTTTTACGCGAAAACTGAATACGGGAAAGTAGAAACAAACGAATATCTCTTGTCCGTTCAATTAAAGGGTCTGTTATTAAATTTGTATTGTTTCAAAAGCCAGACAAATAGATAAGACACAGTTTATAACACACAACAGTCTCTGTGCGAGTTTTTTTAAAATATAGGTATAGAGGAAGAAAACGAGCTATAATAGTCAACCCGCTAGTCAAAGGTGTAGCCAACATTAGCGACCACCTTAAAAAAAAGGTTACACTTATGCGTTGTCAACTGAGATGTGATGAAACGCCTTACCGATAGTAATGTTAATATTTTATATATATATATATATATTTTTATTTCTTGAACCCCAAGCTCGTAGCAGTAATGTTACTGACTGGCTGTCTATTGTATACTATTTGAGTGGGCGCAACAGTGCACCTATTGTTGTATTACAGCCTGTACTTACACCTGTACTGTGTTCCAGTTAAAAGAGTATAGAAGGGCTTTCTATACCCTTCCAACTGAAACACAGTAGTGCAGGCACTGTTGTTTGGCGGCAGAAATAAGTAATGTGTAAAATATTGCGCAGAAATAGGTAATATTTCATATGTGATAGAGTCACGCTGCAGCTAATAATGGTTGTAGCCCGAATGGGTCGTGTCGACTGGGGAATGACCACGCGCTCACAAAATACCAGCGCAAAATAGTAGCTCAATGCTGCTGTGCTTCGTATGGTGAGTGTAAAGAACCGGAGACCCTTTTTACTGTAAGACACTCCATCTTATTGCTCGGGGCTCACAACACATCTGCATTTTGATTCTTAATGAGGATAAATGTAGATGATGTCTATGGCCCACAGCATCCACTTAGCATCAGGTGGACAGTGTGTCGTTTGTCATACTTATTCTATAAAAATAATTAAATATTAAAAAAAAATTGTATAGCCGACTTCAATATAAGTTATTAAGAATAACTCAAAAACTATTGGTCTGACCTTGATCAAATTCATATGGGACCACACGAGAAGTATCAGATTTTATATAAAAAAGAATCATCGAAATCGGTTCACCCAGTAAAAAGTTATGAGGTAACACACATAAAAAAACATACAGTCGAATTGAGTACTGTCTCCTTTTTGGAAGTCGGCAGAAATGTAATAATGTGTAAAAACTTAGCCAGACGGCCTCCTAGGCAGAGAGGCTGTAACTAGGTAGTGGTTAAAGTTGTATCTTTGCAATACAGTTAAAAAAAAATATAAATAAATAAAAATGAAATCGGCTGAAAGTTGCAACAAGTGATTTTTAAAGGACACCAAATGGACCATCTAGTTTTACTAACATAATCAGTGTTCCTAAAATAAAACATTACGACTCTTCTGAGTTGAGTCTAAGTTCAAAATTTAAGCAAAGGTATGAATCATACCAGCCCGAATTGAGGGAGAACCTACCTTTAGGAGGTCCAAAGAGCACGACGTCCATGGCCTTCAAGGCCAGTTTCTGTTTGTGTATGGGATCCTTGATGCCAAGCACGTTGCTCAAGTACTGCATGTTATTGACTGCCAACCTACAGACAAAAAAGAATAAATAAATAGAATGCAGTACATATACATATAGTTTATATTCTTAATATTATTTTTGTACATTTCCGAGTGACGGGTTTGTAAGAGAATTCATCACTCGATTTCATCCCGTGGCTATTAGGCTACTATGGGAAATACCAAGAGATATCATAACTTCCGGTAGCTGACGGTATAACAACCCGTTTACTACAAACATAAAATACCAAGACTGGCGAAAGAATCCAGCATCAAAATCTGTTACTGCAATCGACAATCCGATCACCCTTTTATCTGAAGATCATCTTTCAGAGGCCATACGAAACTTTTCTGTAGCCTATTCATTCATTCACAATAGTACATCAAGATGACCATAGACCTACTCCAACGATTGCTTCATTAGAGGTGATGTTTTCCATCACTTTATCAATGGCATCATGTCATTGATGCCACTGATTGGCATCAAGAACTGAACTCTAAGTCGTTAGAAGATGCCTTATTGTTTTATAAGATGCCTTATTATTGCCGTTATTGTTTTATAATAAATTAGCTGACCTCCGTCAAACTCATTTCTCTACTAACACTTTTACACCAAGGTTTAAATATGCCTTATGGTATAAGAAATCCCTAATTAAAATTTTGAAAGAAAAGCATAAGTATCACTTGAAATATAAGAAATACGGAAATCAATCTGACCTTCAATCATTTATTAGACTCAGAGAACAAGGCAAGACTCTGGAAAAATGAATGTTTGATACATGAATTTCTAACGCAGAAAAAAATAGTTGTAATAATCCTAAAGCGTTTTGGTCTTATATAAAAACAAAAAACAAAGTTAATTCATATCCCGCTGTATTACGTATTGGAGGGAAATCGTCAGAGTGTTGCGCAGAAATTGGAAATATGTTTAGTGATTATTTTCAGTCAACTTTTTTGAATACTACCCATACGCACATTAACCCAGATGTCACCTTTCAAATTAACTATAATATACTAACTGATATAGGGGGTACAGAGGTCACAATTGACGGAGTATTTAAAGCTTTTAAAATCACTTGACTTAAGGGCCTGACATTATACCGGCTGTTTTTATCGTGAGATGCGCCAAGAGCCTTGCGTTTCCTTTGACTGTATTGTATCGGCGTGCTTTGTCAGAAGGTTTAATGCCAAGAATCTGGAAATCGGCTTATGTCACACCAATTTATAAAAAAGGACCAATAGATTAAGTTAACAACTACCGACTAATACCGACTAACCGAAAAGTACTAGAAAGAATTGTCTATGATCAACTACATGCTGCCCTAAAACATACACTTGGCTTTCAACAACACGGTTTTATCAAGGGTCGGTCAACAAATATTAATCTTATATTATGTGGTGAATACTTATCGGAACATATGTCAGAGCCCCTCTTAAGTCGGTGTGGTCTACACAGACTACAGTAAATGCTTTGATCGAATAGACCATTTGCTACTATTGCATAAAATTCAATCAGTAGGATTACGAGGTAATTTATATCGGTGGTTCACCTCCTACATCCAAAATCGGAATCAGACAGTTGCCCTAAATGGTTACACCTCTAAGGCCATGCCAATACCATCTATTGTCCCACAGGGCTCCTTGCTAGGGCTTTTATTCTTTAATATCTTTGTTAATGAAATCTTCACATGTATCAAGGACTCAAAAATCCTGCTTTACGCCGATGATATGAAAATATTAAGTCCTATAACGTCCCTCGAAAGCGCATATCATTTACCAGAAGACTTGAATAGGTTTGAAAATTACTATCTATACAACAAATTATGTTTCTTTTTAAATGCTATATTTGCACATACACACGGAAGATTAAACCTATAATTTTCCGCTACACTATAAAATATACAGATATCACTAGAGTCAACACTATCCGTGACTTAGGAGTAATATTTGACTCCAAATTATTATTTAATGAACATATTGACAATATTATAAACAAAGCCTCTAAAGCGCTTGGCTTTATTTTAAGAATGTCTTCTAATTTCAATTCTATTAAAACCTTCAAAATTTTTTGCTGTGCTTTCGTACACGATGTCATCTAGAGTATGCCTCTCAAATATGGAATTATTCTTATAATATTTATTTTACGCCTATTGAACGGATTCAGAAAAAATTCTTCACTATCCTCAATTTAGAGCTAAGGTCTTTCTACCGGATTACACAACACATTGCCAAAAGTTTCAGATTTTGCCGCTATATGAAAGAAGGCGCATAGCGGATCTATCGTTTATAAATAATATAGCAAATAACACGATTGACTCTCCCGAACTGTTGGAGTAAAATACAAGTTCCATACGCATCTTCACGCAAGCTGTGCAAACTATACGTGCCGGGAGTAAATACAAACTACATACAAAATTCTTATTTCATAAGAGTGAGCAAGTGTTTCAATGACGTGGTGAAAATACACAATGTAGACTTATTTAACACCTCTGGCAGGCAACTTAAGCGTCTACTGAGTAATAAGTTTTTCGTTTACTGATGTGTATTACATATACCATGCATTGTTATTTATTTCATTTTACTTCTGAAATCATCTTTTATTGTGTAACCGAGTCTTTGTCTTACTTGTGCAATTTTTCTCTGTACTCTATTTATAAGTGGAAACTTTTAATTGGCCATCAGTACATTTATTTTTTATTGTTCATACATTTATAGCTAGTTGTATGTTCTCCTAAAATCATAATAAATAAATAAATAAAATCGCTGCTACGACTTGGCAGGTGTGGTGTCAACCGTAGTCCTCATCAGGAAGATGCTGCTACCCATTAGATGGTTTGTTTTCCTCTGTCGCCTTTTACGCAACCCATGGGACAATTTGAGGAAGTGGATATTCTTTAAGTCTTAATATGGATCGAGATACTAAATTATATACTATTATAAGAACAAAAAAATTCTACCCAATAAAGGACTCTATGAAACATAACAGATTATAATCGTGGTAAAATCCATGGGAATTTACAGTTATTAATTGGTCAGCTAATTGATCGTTTGATGTTTAGATCAATTATAATAGACATTGTGAGTCTTATATTACATAATATACTGCGTAAAGTGCACTGCACATGTTCACTACATGCGTAAAAGCTACTGAAATAAAAGAAATCTAGTGAGGGAAGCAAGCGTAAATTTAAAGCTTAGTACAGCAGTACTAAATAGCAATTTGTCGTCGCTCCATCTGGTCAGGGGGCGTCCCACACTACGTTTGCCTAGACGTGGTCTCCACTCCATAACACGTCTACTCCACCGGTTGTCATCTCTGCGACAGACGTGGCCAGCCCATTGCCACTTCAGTTTACAAACACGGAAAGCTATGTCAGTAGTGGACTGCCACAGGCTGATGATGATGACTGCTATTTATAGTATGGTGGATGACAAGAATAGAAGACCCTTTTTACTGTTAACGAAGCATTCTATCTCAGTCTACAAGGGTATACATATATATATATCTTTATATATAACCGAAGTGACAAATGAACAGCCCATCTGATGGTATGTCGCTACTGCAGCCCATGGACGCCTGCAACTAACGTTTTAAACAAAGAAAACTACAGATGCGCGGTCACCTCTGAAGAACAAAATGTAATGAATCACAGCCTGCCTCTCTATACCCTTTAGAGCGGAACACAGCAGTGCAAGCACTTCTATTTGGCAGGAGAAACAGGTAGGTACCCCTACCCAGACGGACTCCTAAGCAAATAAGGAGTCCTACCACCTACTACCATACGTGGTAGAGCCATGCTGCAGCTATATTAGTAATATAGTTGTAGCATGAATGGGTCGGCTCGACCGGGGAAGGACCACGCTCTCACAGAATACCAGCGAATATAGCAGCTTCACACTGCTGTGTGTCGTATGATGTGAGTGTAGAGAACCGGAGACCCATTTTACTGAAAAAGACGCATTCCATCTTAGTTCTCACGGGTGACGACGCATCTGCATTTTGATTCTTTATTGAGGATAAATGTAGATGTCTATGGGCCACAGCAACCATTTACCGTCAGGTGGACTGTGTGCTCGTTTGTCACCCTATCATATAAAATAAAAAGCTAGTAAAGATCAGCATTTTGATTCTTAGTAGAGGACAGATGTAGGTGTTTATTGGCCATTTCCCTCTTTGAGGTAGTCTATAGCAGAGATTCCTAAAGTGGGTTCTGCGGAATCTAAGATTTCAGTGGAAAAGTCACAGGGTTTCGCGAAATTATTTGTGTTTTCTTGTTAATTAATAATTTCACACGCGCACGCGCAAAATATGTAATGAGAAGAACCCATTACGGCTATGTATCGAAAATTGTATTATAATATTTCATTTGCACTGTCTATGATATGTAATATTTGATGTGGGGTTCCATAAAATAATAGAGATTTGGTGAGTGTTCCTACTAAGACTTTTTAATTACCTTAAAAGTTTGGGAACCCCTGATCTATAGGGGAAACCTATTTTCAGCATTACTCCATGTCCAGCAGTACAATATGAATTAGGATATTTGACAAGTTTATAAAAAATTTAAAATTTAAAATACCTAGGTAAAGTTGCTCCAGTGACCCTGTGTTGCAGGAAGACTGTTTTGTATTGGGGCAAGTCAACTGATTCGGACAACCACTCGACCGTTTGCTCCGTGGTCCAATTGTGAACCTAAAAGTAAATAAATTATGGTATAAAATTTATGGTTTTATGGTTTTTACGTAGTAGAGCCACAATGCAGCATTAACGGGTCGGCTCGACCAGGGAAGGACCACGCATAGTATACCAGCATAACACTGCATTGTTTCGTATGGTGTGTGATGAAAACCAGAGACCCCATTACTGGAAACGAGGCATTCCACCTTAGTTTTCAGTGGTGACAACGCATCTACATTTTAATTCTTAATAGAGGATAGATGTAGATATCTATGGGCCTTAGTATCCACTTACCATCCAGGTGGATTGTGTGCTTGTCATCCATAATCTATGAAAAGGTGGGCTACAAAGTTTTATAGACATGGAGACATCCAATACACATACGTACTCGAAAACATTAATCTTTTTATGGCATAAATGTTGCGACTGGTATTCAAACTTGGAACCCATGACTGAGAAGTCTCTCCCTATCAGCCGCGACTCTACTACCATAACCATGAAGCTAATACAAAGGGGAGACGGCATAAGCAACTGTGCACTGTGATTCTAAGTAGGTCCTGACGTCATCATAGTGGGCGTGGCTTTAGTTAGTATACTGTCAGCACTCGTCCTGTGCGCTTATGTGTTGAAAAAATCGCAAATCGGTGTATTTTCGTAGTATTTAGAAGAAAAGGATGAAGTGTTGTGTTTTATTGTGTAAAAACTACTCAGATAGACGCTCCGATGCTATGGATGGCATCACATTTCATTTGTAAGTAATTTTACACCTAATTTATTAAAATAGTTCTAGAAAAATCTCTTTGCGTCGGCTTTCAAATATAATTAAATATATTCCACACTAGATGGCGACACTTTGTGTCCTGTGAACTGAAAATATAAAGGTACGTAGAGCTCAGTAATGATAAAATAATCATACGAAGGTGCTGAAATTTCTTTGCATTCAGACATAAAGAAATTTTAATCGCCAGTATTATTTTTAAAGTTTATAACATTTTGTGGACATGCCGCCATCTACCGTCAAGGTAGCTAAGCTACATTGCAACATCGATATGGAAAGATTCGAGTAGTTTTACTATTTATCGATAGATGTAGATAGTGTAATAGGCGGGGCTTTGCATCCCCTCACCCCGCAAATTGTCACGCGTTGTTACATAGTGAAATTTAATTACAACGTTTCCTCTTTGTATTTGCTTCATGACCAAAACAGACCACGTCGTTTTCAATAGTTTATGACAATATTGCAAAGTAGCCAATAATAGTTCCAACTATCATGAGATCAACAAATTAATAAACATTATCATACAATACATAAACATACAAACATTCAACATAACAACCATCAAATATGCAAGATTATATCTATACAACGTCCGGCAATTTGCGTGCCAAACGTTGCGATTACGTTAAGTCCTCCTAAGAGAGGTAGATAAAGACCTAGGTAGAGGACATAGGTGCAGCAATAGACTATGAAATCAAGTGACAATAATCAATTGACACATATATTAGAAATCAATTGATTAAGAATTAGAGATAATTATGTACTTTAATAAAAGTCAGTTTTTATAGAATAAGGGTGACATACGAGCATACAGTTTACCTGATGGTAAGTGGATGCTGTGGCCCATAGACAATTATCCTGGATTAAGAATTAAAATGCAGATGCGTAGAGGACTAATAACGAATGCTTCACTTATCTGAATGCATCTCCGGTTCTCTACATTCACCATACGAAACAGGAGCATTAAGCTGCTATTTTACGCTGGTATTCTGTTAAGAGTGTGGTTCTACTCCGGTCAAGCCGACCTATTCGTGATTCAACCATAATATAGCTGCAGCACGGCTTTACTACGTGTAAATGAAATATCAGAAAAATAAAGTGTTAGTACATCGACAAAGACAGTGTAAGGAAGTGCAAACTGCTTATCCGAATGCAAATGTCACTGTACCAGATGCACTCAGTTAAATAATAATCAATGAATTTCTAGCATCCGGGAAATGGTGGCATATCGACTTTAAAATATTGTATTGAAATACAATAGACTGGTGGTACGTGGTACACAGTGCGATGGTGTCAACTCTGCGGTAACCAATCCGCTTGTCTAGTGTGGAAATGCAGAATTTTTTTTTGAAATATGCAAACTGCATGGCGCATTTTCAAAAAGCCTATATTGTAGTTTCTCAAAGTGGGATGCTAGCTGAACGTAGGGTGTTCATAACCATATTAATGTTAAGGCGGCTGACTTGCTATCTCACACGTGCACGTCAGTTGTATAACTATAAGGTGAACACGCCACTAGCCAGCACCACGTGTGCTTGCAGGGTGCAGGATCCGCGGGGCGAAGGCGTTGCGCGCGTATTCGTTCCTATTTTGTTACCATCACACTAATGACTAATTAAAAACTTATTTCTCTTTGTGACTGTATATTTCTAATTAAAGTGGCTTATTTTCGTCTTTAAGCAGATTTTTAGGAGTTCGTCTCGTCCTTGTTGTCTGGGTAATTTAATAGGGGTATGTGAGTCTATAGTTTGAGAAAGTCTGACCTAGTAGAATAAAAATATGTATCGATAAAGTAAGAAGAAAAGATCTCTGATAAAACTCGAAACTGCCGCATAATTTTAAAAACAATTTTGCATTAGTAAGTAAAGATATACCTCAGATCGGAGCCATGCCTCCCACAGCTCCTTAACGGAGATGTGCATATCGTCGTTGTGGTGGAAAGCGCGTTGGCGCTTCTCGTAACCGCTGTCATATTGTAACTCTTCACGAAGAAACTGAAACGAAAGGAATAAGCAACATTCATTATAAGAAACTAGCTGGTACTCGGCGCATTGCTGCCGCAGATGAAATAATTGTGGAAATATCGCTTTAAATTTGGAAGAATTATATAGTTTAAATAGGAATGATGGGTAATACAATCATTGAAATTTAATGATCTACTTTTAAATCTACTTTGTCGGTACGATACGCGCGCCTTCTAATGTAAGTTAATTGTTCTATAACTTGTGTTGTTGTGCAAGTGTAAGTAATAAGTTGACAACGTTTTACCGCAATCTGATGAACGGTATGGCAGCGCATAAAATACGAACAAACAAACATTAATTTTTATATATGTAAAATAAATTATCATTCAACAAATATAATAAATTATTGCTGTGGAGACGAAGAGAATACATACTTCCCATATCGTCACGTGCGAATCGTAAGAGGCTACTACGGGAAACGCCCAGGAAGAGATCTCATGGCCTTCGATAGATGGTGGTATTAAAATATGTAATATCTTTTTTTACTTATTATAAGCCTTGCCTTGTGCCCGACTATAACCTCAAATAGCAAGAAGTGGTGAAAACACCGTAGATGGTAAACCGCACTGACAAAAGCCTATTCACTTTTGCCTTGAAAGTACTCACATTGTAAAAGTAAAAAAGTAAAGTCATAGCCTAGTCGAATATTTTTTCACATCATTTTCCCTATACAATCAAGGAAAGGTTCGTCGCGCTACTCGTTTTGGCAACTTTAAATTTTTTCGATTTTTTTTTTATTTCTCAAACATGTAAGGTTTACTCACGATGTCCTTGACCGCCCAGCACGTGGTATTGGCGTCGGCGAGAATCGAAACCGCTTGAGTCGAGTTACTAGCTTACTATGATATTTACGGCAAGTGCTAAGCACCTGTGAGGTACTAAGGCTCCTACGGTATATAATATAGATATAGGGAAAAATCATAGCCGAAGCACTAGTCATGTCTAAAGTCCGGTTGCTTGGTTACGATGATTTTCTCACCGAAATTAGGTCCCAATGTTCCACCAAATTTGTAGCATAAGCGTTAATTACATAGTAAATTAATACAGGTAGTAAAGGACGAGTACTTGTCTCTGTGTGAAAGTTTATTTCTGTGCCTCTAAATCTTCTGCTCAATTATTGATATCTTTCAAAGTATTCCTACGTTATGACCGTGGTCACAAAAAATACTAACCCGTGAACACAAAAGCGACATACGAGTAAATATAATATTTATTTAAGAGTAGCTGTTACCCGCGACTTCGCCCGCGTATTATTTGAGGTTTTAATTTTTTTGCGCCGAACCCTAATTCTTTTTCTAAAATAAAAGTAGCCTAAGTTACTCCTTGTGACGTCAGCTATCTGCCAGTGAAAATCCCGTCAAAATCGGTCCAACCGTTTCAGAGATTAGCCGGAACAAACAGACAGACACACAGACAAAATCTTTAAAAATTGTATTTTTGTTATTAATAACGTATATACTTTCATATGCATTTAGTAAAAAGCTGTAATTTTGACATTACAAAAAGACACTTCAATTTTATTTATTTGTATAGATTACATGAAAAAGTGCCGTGTGTGTCAACGTTGCAAGAGTATAAAAGCGCCATTTGTCACGAGAAAATTCTTGGGATCCCTGCCTAGGAAGTCAGGTGTAGCTAGTTATAAGCGAGCCAAGAGGCCGTCAAATCAATTACAAATGTGAAACATATATACCTAATATACTTACTAGCATAATATATATAATTTACTAGCAGCTATAGCACACTAACTACATATTTTAGCAATTCGGAATCCTTTTTAACATGGTCTTAGAGCCACACTGCAGCTATATTATGATTGGCACGAATGGATCGGCTCGACAGACCATGCTCTCAAAGAATACTTACACTACTAGCATAAAAAGCATTAATCTGCAGTAGCAATAGCACTACTAGTGTTTCGTGTGGTGAGTCTATAGAATCGGAGATCTTTTTACTGGTAACTAGTGTTTATGTTATTTCCTAGGAGTGACAAAGCATCTATATTTTAACTGTCCCAAAGAGAAAGGCCAATGATTCCGTAATAATTTTACTCAACACATTAAAGATGTTGACGCTGTTGTGTAATGTTTATAAAAATACCAGCAGGCCCGGCAGACGTTGTCCCTTTCCAGTGTTAATATAAAATCTATACAAATAAATAAAATTGAAGTGTCTGTTTGTAATGTTAAAATAACAGCTTTTTACTAAATGCATATGAAAGTATATACGGTACTAATAACAAAAAAAAAAAACAATTTTTAAAATTTTTCATCTGTCTGCCTGTTTGTTCCGGCTGGACCGATTTTGATGGGACTTTCACTGGCAGATAGCTGATGTTATAAGGAGTAACTTAGGATACTTTTATTTTAGAAAAATAATTAGGGTTCCGTGCAAAAAATTAAAACCCATGAAACCGTAGTAAATTCCACGCGGGCGAAGTCGCGAGGGACAGCTAGTTTATTAATAAGTTTACCACAACGCCACTCATGGAAACCAGATTATGTGGTTGTCTATTTTTGGCATTAAGCTGTAATAATACGAGTACATTGTGATACATGAATCATTTGGTTCATAAATATACCTATAATTTGTAAATTTTTTTTAATGTCCCCTAGATCGAATTCCGGTTCTGCGGCCGGTGTCGACGGAGACTGCGCAGGACAGGATAATAGTGTACGGGTACAATCTTACACGGCTGGAGAGAGGTTTGGCGCAGAAACAACAGCTAAACACCGCCAACTCCTTGACTCCTCGCTGTTACTAAGAATTTCTTGAACAAGAAAAACCCAACAACTGATATTGGCTCGACCCGGGACAAACTGATTAGCATTCGTGCTTAAGAACCACTAGACCAGTGATTCCCAACCAGTGGTCCGCATAGAGCTTGAATAATGTCCGCGAAATATTATTTTTTTATAGGATAAAGGTGACAAACGAGCACACAGTCCACCTGATGGTAAGTAGTTGCTGCGGCCCATAGACATCTACATCTATCCTCTATTACAAATCAAAATGCAGATGCGTTGTCACCCGTGAGGACTAAGATGGAATGCCTCATTTCCAGTAAAAAGGGCCTCCGGCCACCTGCACTCACCAAGCGAAACGCAGAGGTAAACCTCTACTTCACGCTCGTATTCTGTGAGGTCGTGGTACCACCCCGGTTCGAGCCGGCCCATCCGTGCGACAGTAAAAGCTGCCGCGTGGCTCTACCACTGTTACATTTTAATAACACACTTATTTTATACCTACCTAATCGTTTTAAATAACACATTTATTATTTTCTCGTCACGCGGCCAGTGTAACACCGGACTTCACGTTAGTAAGTACCAACTAGCTTTGACAATAAATACACAAATAGTATCGTTATATATGTTAAAAGTTGTGATTATAATTTATTGTTAGATTAACACAGTTTTTTCTTTCACCTTGTGGTCCCTGCTAACTACAAAAAAATAAAAGTGGTCCCTGGTCAAAAAAAAAGGTTTGGAAACCCTGCACTAGAACAACGAGGCAGTCAAAAAAAGAGATTGTTAAAAACTCGTATCTGCTACACCTTGTATCGGTTACACGTATCGTGATCGGTGGGGTGGACGTATATTTGATACTGTATCAAGAAACGACGTAGCGATACGATATTTGATACATCGCGTCCCACCTTAATTCGGTTATTCTCCGTTCATCACAGGGAATAATACGAGTACATGCCACTACAAGGTTTTGAAAGGCCTTAAAATTAAATAGATACCACAGGATCGGACAAGAATTTTCAGCGTCCACATATAAAGCCCTTTGTAACTTCTAGTTGAAGAATATAAAGAATACATAAAGGATAACTAAATAAATAATGTTGTGCCGATACGCTGATATGATACGATATGATCAATGTAAAACTACTCAAACGCTTTATCACTTTAAGTCCTCATAACGATACTTAACGACATATGAAAATTGAGTAGCATTTGAGTGTTTCGCGATCAGCGATTGAACGCATTTTTTTTTTGATACGATAAGGCTAGTAAATTTATTAAAGTCGAAATAGGTACTCAAATACTACAAGTACTCTATACGATACTCCTGACGAAGATACATCAAGATCATCAAGTGTGTACCCGGCATAAGACGTGTTAACTGGAATTTAGTTTCTTGTGGCACAAAATTTAAGTGCATATAAAGTCCCAAAACTAATGAAGAATAAGACAAATCTTTAAATGTCTTATTATAATGAATAGTGCGGTAATTTGCTGGCATAACGCGCCTTTGTATGGCTATAATGTTAAATTTTTTTGTATGCATCTGAGATTTATGCTTTAACCTTGAGTCGGAGTTGGCCATTGACTCTAGTTTATGAAACTTTTTTGTCATATTAAGAGTTCATATTTCTTATCTCATTGTCATTTATTTTTGTATTATTATGTATTTAAATTGACAGCAATAAGTAAAGAAGGCGAAGAAGTTTTATTTAAAAGGCAAGACAAAGAAAACACATTCCCACCATTAAAACAATCTTTCTATAAGCCACGGGAAAATAGCATGGCGGATAACACCAAAACAAACGTAATATTTATGTAATGGGAATTAGGAAACAGTTTTTTTTCCCGCGGTGTCAATAGAGTTATCGGCGCACGATAATTCCGAGCTGTCCACAAATAACAGACTGTCCAAAAAACAGTTATGATCAAATTATCTTATTAGTTTTAGTTCTTAGGTTTTTACTTTTTAAAGGGTTTTTTTTTTAATATAACAAGCAATATAACAAGGTCAAGATAGCAACTCGAATATAGGTACTAAGTTACATTATAAATTTCATCCACTACATTTCCACCCTTAGAGGTTATTATGGGTATATTTATAAAATAAGAATAATTGAAATCAGTAGACGACGAAGATGCCGCGTAACATACTAACATACAAACCTCCTTAGATTCTCAATTTGACTTTTTTGTAATCGTCTAAAAAGTGAATCAAAATTTTCCGCTAGTTTAAAGTTTGACTTAACGGAACAAATGAGCGTACAGAAAATTACTGCTATAGTGAACGATGTGTACTACATCAAATCTTAAAACACCTACGGTGTACAGTGCAATTATCAGTACATAGCATAGATTGTACAGCCTAGAAAGGTTTTTGATGACGTATAGAAAATCTTAGACATTAAAAATTGTACAGGTTTGTTTGTTAGACTGGGGAATACGTGATCGGGGCCTCGTTGCAAAATGGTCATGATTTTTAAGTGAACCACAGTTCTGACCACACAGTTTATAGCGCACTTTTTTATCACTGATATTTTTAAACCAATAACATGCCTTTTGCGTAAATATTTATTCTAGCTGCGATAAGAATCTATGAGCGGTTGCATGCGTTAAATCCGCTTACCCTACTCCCAAGCCATGCGGTACATTAGCTATATTTAAATTTTAATAATAAAAAAACACCTGTAATGTTACTGCGGTTTAGCATATCAGAGTTATGTGATAGCCTAAAACATGGAAGAAAATAAACGATAAATGAAAAATATCAGCCGCAACACATTCCACTTCAACAATAGTAAATAATTGCGCCTATATATATAATTTTGTTGCGTCTGAAGGAAATATTTGAAAAGAGGCCAAATGTTATCGCAATCAATTATACAAGCAAAGATGTTGTAAATAATATTATTCAATGTTGTCAATAATTCCGAAAACGGAACGCACTTCAGAGTTATGGGAAGTTGTCAGCTTTAGACTCAAAATTTTCGGGTTCGTAAAGAATTCAAGCCCAGGATCCTTGTTTTGTTTAGGTATTTTGTTCACTGAATTAATCTTCTATTGCTTGAGGAAATAAATGAAAATCGGATCTCCTATTACTTGAGGGAAATACAAGAGTAAAATCGTAGCAAACAAAAGAATTGAAAAAAAAATCTTAAGGATTTCTAAATCAGTGACGGCGCGTAAAATATTATAAAAAGGCACATTTGATGCCGCAATTGCCATACCACTTATCCCGCGTGAGGATTATAAAATAGAATTATTATAATTTCCCCAATTTGGGAAAAACCACCCATATAATGTTCTGTTGTGGCCAAAGTTGATAGTGATTGTGCGTGAGATAGCGAACTTCTGTTTTATGATACTTATTCGCAATACCCCTTGTATTCAAGTGTAAGGCCAATAACTGCCTCCGTAGAAGCACGATCCAGCAGCGCAATTTATGGCCAACCGGTAGATACCTAACCAGCCAGTAACAAAATCCACTATAAGACTACAGTATATATAGACTCTGTTTAAACTGTGATAAGATGAAAAAATAACACATAAAAACCCAGCTCATTTCTTTAGTGTAGTAAATAACAACTTAGAGATTTAAAGTAACCTTAGAATCTTACTGCAGTGGTCAGCCAACCAAGCTAAGCACTTACACAGAAGATTGGTTTAAACATGAAATAAAGTGTAGGTCTTACATCGTCGCTCTCGCTCAGGTCGACGTTTCCATTGGCGTCATCATCCAGCTGGCGATGGAGCTGGGTTATTGCCTCCAAGCCGGCGCGGTCTTGCAGGCAAACTGGTTCGTTGTTGCACGCCTCCAGTAGAACTGGAATAAAAAGTTATAGTTTCATCAAGATGATTCGTTGTAAGGTGTTTGCTTTCTTTCTTGATATCCGATACACCCCACAAGAAGGGTAATTTTAAAGTGTATTACATGAGTATATTATTAGAATATTTGCAACACACCAATCGGACATTTTGTCACATTAGGCCGGCCACATACATACGGAATTCCGTTTCGATATTCCGATTCGGAATTCCGAACGCAGCAAGTCCATATAAAATATATGACCCGTCACACACGTACCGTAATTTTCCGTTCGAAATTTTGCAGGCAAAACGGGATTCCGTATGTGTGTGGCCGACCCGTTTGGAATTCCGAAACGGAATTCTGTATGTATGTGGCGGGCCTTACACATTAACATAGTCACCTAATCGGACATAAAAAACATGTAATTGATTACCTAATAAAAATTTTATAAATATAAAACAAACAAAGATGTTGAACATAATGATGGTCTTATAAAACAAATTAACTTCCATTTAACGCGGCTGATAATTAATTTGACCTAAACATTTCGATTGTTTCTAGGAATTCACACTACTGTTATATTTACAGAAACTATTTTTAATCGGCTATGTAATGTTTTATGGACATAATCAATTTTACACTTTTTGTAGCATCCATAGTCACACGGGGACTGAAGTATTCAAAATAAAACAAGTAACAAAACACAGCACTATATTCGTAACATCCCAATAAATTTAAAAAATTCAGGTATGTTAGGTGGTAGGACTTTTTTATGCCTAGAAGTCCATCTGGGTAGGTACCTGCTGCCAAATGACAGTGTTTTCCTATCTAAAACGCGTAGAGAGCCAATATGATTATGTACTGCAAGGCATTCCTTCTTAGTCCTAAGAAGTGACAACGTATGTATGTGCAGCTTTCTTTATTAGAAGTGCGCTGCAGGTGATCATATATTGCAGAAGCTGCTTACGATCAGGTGGACTATAAGTTCGTATGTCACTACAATATAAAAAAAATATACCCTAAATTAAGCACTCTTTGGGATAAAATGTATGCTTATCTTGATACATAGGTACATAAAATGATTTTTAAACGGAGATAAATTTTGACATACCACTATATGTACACAAATTACAGAGCCGTCATAGCTCAGGGACTAAACGCTCGCTGCAAATTTCACAAAACTCTAGCAACCCGGGTTCGATCCCCGCCGGCACCAATGAAATTGTTAATTGCAGTTATAAGTGCTGTTTTACCAGGTGCTCGGCGGTGAAGAAAATAATCGTGAGGAAACCGGCATGTCTGAGAAACAAGAAAAAAATATTTTGAAGACATGTGAAGTTCGCCAACACGCATTAGGACGTGATTTAAATGTAAATTATTAGTTTAATCCTGTAATAATCACATCACATCACCAAACTGTATCACACAGGGAAAACGAACGATAGTTGTGAAGGAAATCGGCAGAACAAGCGTTCATTGCGCGAAATTACAATTCGCAATATAAAGAAACGTTGTACGAATTTAAAAATGGAATTGTAGGCCGTTGAAAACATTTAGAGGTCCATTGAGATCTTCCAGGGCAATGTCACACATTTCCGTAACAATAAAACAAGGCACATCGCGTCGATTTTACGAAGGCTATAAATTGTTACATTTCTATATTTTTCTTTACTTTCTAATAACGTCTTTAATGTATTACTTATGATCAACAAATAAACGTATTATTATTATTATTATTTACTTTACATAATAATATATGAAGAATATAATATGTGACAATGTTCATATTTTGAATCAATGATACATTTGGATTATCATATAGGAACAGTAAACTATTGGTTAATGAAAATGTACTCAATTACAACGACTATAGATGCAGTTTTTATTGTAGGTATGAGTTTAAGAGATCAAACGTTTCGGGCAAAAGGCACATTTACGAGGGTGACACGTAAAGTTCTTAGAAAATCGAAAACTGAACAAACTAGCAAGTTATTAGTTTTATTATATCTTTTCAAAATAGTGTCCATTTACATCAATACATCGCTGCATCCGATGGAACCACTGAGAATAGCACTTTGCCCACGCGTCTTTAGGTCTTAGGGGTCTCTTCGACGGCATTTTGAAACGCAGCCACTGCTTCCTCAGCGTCCATAGAACGTTTTCTTCGAGGTTTTTCTATTATTTTCGGAAATAAATAAAAATCGCAAGATCGGATGGTCGGAGACCCAGTAATTCCACGTCTAACGTCGCCAAGTAGTCGATTGTTTGCTTGGCGGTGTGCGATGAGGCGTTGTCGTAGTGAAGGAGGATCCTACTGCGAGGTCATTTCTCCCGAACTTTTTCCAAAACAAGTGGCAAATAATTGTAAACTCTGCAATAACTGTTTTTCTATCCTCTAAAACAATTGCTGCGTTATGACCTATCCTTCCGAAGAACGAGGCCACCATCTTTTTTCCCACGCTTTGACGTCTCTTTAATTGGCAACTCCTCGGAAGGAAACACCCACTCAGCAGACTGTCTCTTAGTTTCAGGATCATAACAATAAATCTAGCTTTCGTCACCCGTAAGTATGTCGAACACAGCATTTGAGTCACCTCCGTTAAAACTTTGAACCATTTCACGACACCAATCAACACGACGGAATTTTCGAACCTCTGTCAAATTATGAGTTATCCACCGGGCACGAAGCTTCCTGACCGCTCAATGTTCATGGAGGATTTTGTGCACTTGACTCATACCGATGCCTAAGCATGTCCGAATCTGCTGCTAAGTCGCTCTTTTTTCAGTCTGTATCATACACTGATGTTATCTACAGTCGTTGCCGTAGAAGGCCGTCCCTCAGGTAGATCATCGGAGAGTCAGGTAGATTAGTACGACAACCTTTAAACTCATTAAACCAGTTATAAACAGTGGCACGAGATGGAGCTTCATCGTGAAAGGCCAATCGAAGTCTATCATAACTTTCTTGTTGATTTAAATGACATCGAGTCATAAAAAATCATTGTACGAAAATTTTCTCGCGTTAAATTCATGCTGACGTGACAGTGACACAGACAATTTTCAATTTGCCGCCAAATCATAAACAAATGACAAATTAATAAAATACATACGTAATAATATTGGCAAAGAGTTCCATTTTCAAAATTTGACCTTATTTTTTATTATATCGTTTACAAGAGACCAGTTCTAAAAATTTTCAGTGTCGCCCGCGTATTTTTGAAAAACAAATTATTCAATTATTATTCCTCTCGGGATCGGTTCGCTGACACTTGGCATTGAATTGTACGGTTTTATTTAACTGCATACATTTTTCGACAGCTTGCTTTACGAACGTTGGAACCGAAATATTTTCTTAAAAACTTTCCTTGACCACAATTACAACACGATACGTATAATTTTTCAATGTCACACTTTTAAAACATACTCGTTACGGAGCACGTGTATATTATGTACAACATGGTACATAGCGAGCAATTGTTAGTTCTGAATTTAGCGATAACGTCCGAAGGTGAACAATGGATTGGAAATGTGCAATAAATGCTACGACGAAATAAAAAAAAACAGTACTTTCCATTGTTTCGAGGATCATTGGTTATATTATGACGGCTTCAAGCTAGAGACATTTCGGGTACTGTCAGAAGTTATTGACGTAGATCCATATTTTTATAGGATAAGGGTGACAAACGCACACACACACACGCGCACCTGAACGTAAGTGGTTGCTGTGGCCGCTGTGACATCTATCCTCGATTACGAATCAAATGCATATGCGTTGTCCCTGAGGACCAAGTTGGAATAACTCGTTTCCAGTAAAAAGGTTCTCTACACTCACCATATGAAACACTGCATCATTAAGCTGCTATTTTACGCTGGTATTCTGCGATAGCGTGGTCCTTCCCCGGTCGAGCCAACTCATTCCTACTACAACTATATCAGTAGGTAATAATAGCTGCAGTATGGCTCTACCACGTAAAGAAATCATGAAATTATAAATGACAAACTGCCGTAAAGGATTAAACAAAATAAGCACCTTCACCTATTCGTGCCCCAAGTACGCTCAAGAATATGTTATAAAATAAAAAAATAATTAGTGTTCTGCAAGGTTCTCGAGTGGCAGCCTCATACCGGTAGGCGAAGTGTGCGGCAGCCTCTAACTACATGGAATGACGACCTGACATGGTAAGACCTGACATGACATGCAGGTGAATCAGGTCCGTGCTTTTTCTTGGGCCTATGTTCATCAGTGGATTTGTGAAGGGCTGTAATGATGATAATAGTGTTCTGCATAAATAATGGTTTCGGTTAAAATTCACCTGGTTCAAAGTTTTGAAGGTTCAGCGTACTCGCCTTCAAATATATAACTCGTACTAATCAAAGTGAATACGCCCTGTATTCACTTTGATTAGTACGAGTGCAGGTGATAAGTAATTGCGGGTGATTAGTGCAGGTGTGTAGTGTGAGAAGTGTCTAATTCTGATTAGTGGCTGTGTTTAGTAAATTCAGTTGTTAGCCGTCGACCACAATATGTTGGTCGCACCTCAAGAAGCGCGCTTGCAATTGCAAGAAATATTTAAAAAGTCAGGGTGTTTATTATTGTAAAGGCATTCATGTTTTAGATACTCCTGCACAAATTTATAGGTTATGTCTTCGGTTCACTTTGCCATTTTTGCAACACAAGAGAGCCTGCGACGATAAACGCTGCTGTCCAGACATGTTTAGAGGTAGGCATTCTGCGAGTGAGGGGGAAGGGAGGGCGCGCGGGGCGCGGATACACACAGTCCACTCGCAAAAAAATAGAACACGCTTCTAATCACTTTACTACGCAGGTTATTCCTTCGTCTGACCTCCTCTGACCGGAAAGAAATTCCGCAGGTAATAGGTAAAGGAAAAAAAGGAAATTAATTTATTAAAATTATTTCTTCATTAAAAAGCAAAAACCAACATCAAAACGTAAGAAACATAGTCCACCTGATGTTAAGTGGTTACTGCGGCCCATAGACATCTACATCTACCCT